CAATGTACCGCTTTGGGTACAAAATTACTGACATAATCAGACCGTCAGGGAAGTTAACAACAAGGCTGCTGGTTCGATTCCTGCATGGGATGCCCATGGGATGCCCACCCGCAACTAAGATTGAACACAGCACCTTGAGCTTAGAGGCCACGAACTGCCGACGGGCAGCCAGATGGTGACTGGCACCCTCCACAATGAAGATTGAAGAACAACAACTTGGCTGGTCCCCTTCCCCAATTCCCCAATAAAATCTTTAAAAAAAAATCAGTTATGTGCTTTTTAAGACACACACCTAAAATATATGGATATAAGGGATAAATAGATATATAGCCTAGTGGTCAAACTGAATGAAACTGAATTGAGCTTTCAAAAACCTATCTCTGCACATATTGATGTTTTCTGGTGGCAGTATTATCCAGGTGTGGTCTAAACATTTTACAGAATTATATCATTTAATATATGTACTAAGGAGAAAGATATCTTGGGGTGCTGGTTTCCGTTCTGAATTATTTTGTAGGTGACATATTGAAACTACTCCTGTCAGCAAGTTTTTATTCATTAGTAACACCAATCCTTTATTGCTTATAATTTCCCTAACTGTACATCCCTTGAATGAGCAAGAAATGACCCAATAAGCCCTGGTATTGCTACAAGCAGTTTTCATGCATTCTCCAAGGTGTTACCCAGAGACTGTGCAGTGGTGTCAGGTGGAAATCAGAAGTTCAAGACTGGTGCTTCTCATAGAGCCCAGAGGACTTAGGATAAAGGTCCTGTTCAAAAAGTTCCCCATTCTGCAGATGATTGTTTCAGAGAGTGAGGTGTCAAATTCAGTGTCCCCAGTACCTAGGCCCTTGGGCCATCCCTTGAGGGCCAGTTTTGGCCCATAAATACATTGGCTTAGTTTCTGACTATCTGTTTCCTGCTGGAGCCTACTCTGAAAACTTACCTGAGTTCTCTTCTCTGTTTCCTCCTGTTGCAGAAGATGGGGTTTCTCGGACAGCGCGGTCCATGTCCCTCACACTGGGAAAGGTATGCATGTTCAAGGAATATCAGGGCCCCCAGAGGAAGCACAACAGAAGTTTCCACAGTCACTCAGGAGATCATTCATTCTGGATCCATGGGTGCCAGAGAACTTCTGGACAGGGTCTCTAGTTCAGCTTCCTATACCTGCTAGTTATTCCTCCAACCTTCTCTTGCTCATGGTTTTCCTGACTATATCATCCCTTAAATGAACATAAAATGATGCACAAAACTTGGCATTGCTATAGTTTTCATACACTACTCGGGATGTTTCCCAGATGGTGGAGGTCATTTCTGCTCCATTTCTTCAGTGTATAACAGGCTAAAAGAAAAACATGTTGAGAAATCACTCACCACTAGCAGAAAATGTGTGTCAACTTTGGCTATTCTCTCCACACCAACCCCACCACCATCACTACCTCAAAGCCAAAATATTCAGTGAATGTTACCACAGCATTAGGAGCAAGTAGGCATTTTCCAGGTCTTTCTGGACTGCCGGTGCTGCTCCCTCCATGACAGTGGGCCTGGTCCCTTTTCTTTCTATAGAACATGCCCCGCCGGAGGGTCAGCGTTGCCGTGGTTCCCAAGTTTAATGCCCTGAACCTGCCCAGCCAACCTCCCAGCTCATCACCCATCCCTTCCTTATCAGCCCCGGTGAGTATGACAAAGCCTGGCTGCTGGCCTCTCCCTCAGGCTCACTAATATGGGGGTGACCTGGATGGGGGCAGGGTCAACAAGGCGAGGACATTTCCAGCACAGATTCTGGGTGATGGGTTAAAAAGCCCAATAGAAACCAGGCTCTGTGTCTGCCACTGCCCCGAGAAGGAGACTCAGTATCCTGGGGTGAGGTGCTGGCATCTCAGAGAGTGTTCATTACAGGTAGTATAGTATCTCTTTTCATGCTTAAACAACAACCCTCCAAGGTGGGTATAATTTCCCCCCCACTCTGCTGAGCTGAGCTTTAAACCCTAGGCTCTCTGAATCCAGAGTTTGAATTCTTAAACCCAATGTTATTCTGACTCAATTTATTTTTTACAACAGTGAAAAACTGGAAACTACCCAAATGTCCATTAATAAGAGCTTGGTTAAATAAATTATGGACATCCCTATAAGGGGCTTCAATGGAGCTGCTAAAAATAAAGATTAAAATATAAATCTTTATTTATCGACATGATAAATATCCATAATTTATTATTCACAAAACAATTAAAAACAGTATATACAAAAGACACACACCAGTATATGCAGTATAATTCTGTTTTGTAGTGGTTTTTAAAAGTGTGATTCTATGTGTAGACATAGAAAATTCTGGAAGAATATATGTAAAACTATTAATAATGGTTATCACTGGACAATGGTAAAACCACAGGTGATTTTTATTTTCTTGATGCCCTTTTATATTTCTATAGTAAGAATGTATTACTTACAATCAGGAAAAAATCCATTTTAATTTTTCTTAAAACAAAGACGGTTCCTATATAACGAAATATTTCCCACATCCCAGGCCTTTGTGAATCTTGTTAATCCTATCTAAAACTTACAATTCTTTCTCCAGATGTTTCTCTATGCCCTGTCCATGACTAGCACTACTTTATCAGGAAATAATCTGATTGTGTAAACAACAGGTATAGTAGATTCAAGCTCTATTATGCCAATAGGTAGCAATAACTCTTCAACTTCTTTCATTTCTTCCTGCCTTGAGCATCTCCATCCATGAAATCACCATAAACTCCCAAATCGCCCACTAAAAGAAAGAAAGCTGAAAATTTTTGTTAAAAAGGAGGTCAAGGAGGAGGGCTAGTTAGTATGTTTTAAAGGACCTATCCATACTATACCAAATGTATAAATGTTTCTAAACATATATAATTCTTTAGACTAGGGGTTGGCAAACAGGGCTATACATTAAAATCATGTGGGGTACTATTTAAACATTCTATGCCCAGGCCTCACCCCAAGATTCTGGATTGGATCAGTACCTTAAAAATATCTCCCCCAGGTGATTCTAATGTGCAGCCAGAGTTGAGAACCATTGTTTAAATCAAATCCATTGCAACAAAAAAATGTGGTAGTCCTAGGGAATGTATTATAAAGAAATTTCTAATGGCTTGAGCTTTTAGTAATGACAGGCATCTCCTGAGAACTGCGCTTGGAGCTGTATCTCCAGGGCAGTGATGGGCTTGCATGAATCCATCTCAGGGACCGTGGGGCCTGCATTTGGTCAGAGGCCCAGTGGTACGTAGTCCAAGTCAGTAAACAGGAGACAGAAAAACTGATGGCTCCCCTCCAGAATGGAGCCTCAAAATGCAAACTCTTCTCTTTGCTCAATGACACTTGGAAGAGAAGGAAAAGTTACAAGTTTCATGTGCCCCAGAGGGAAAGAACACAGAGGCCAAGAGGCCAGAGAAGGCCTGAGCAATGGGCCAATGCCTGGTCCCAAATGAAGATTAGAAAGCATGGGGAGTGAGGAAAGGGAAGGAGGCGAGCCCCGGCAGCCCCTCCACCCCCAGCATCACCAGAGACTGAGCAGCTCTGGCTTCTTCCATCCTTGCTGATCCTCAATTCTCCTGTTTTCCATTCAGTCGGAATCACCCAATGGGAAAGGTAACCTACCTGTTGTCACCTCAGCACTGCCTGCACTTTTGGAAAAGTAAGTTTGTTGATTTTTTTCTGAACTTTGGGGATCTCTGAGGAAAATTTCCTCAACTCACCTTTTCACCCATCCTTACTCCCAAAATGCAATGAAAAGCAAATTAGTTTCTAGAGGAAATGAGTGGGACTCTGAGATCCACAAAGATTTCAGACCCAGTTTGCTAAATTCCAGGAAGATGCTGTGGCTGAGGCCAAGGATACCATGATCTAAGAGGAGCCCAGAGGGCATGGAAGCCTTCTCTGTTCTTTGGGATTCTTTGGGCTACAGATACATAAAAGCCCCAACTTAAAGAGGCTTAAATAAGACCTGAAGTGGGGCTGCTCCAGGTGTGTTACCGGAGGGCCCAAGCGCAGCCTCTCTACAATTTCCTTGCCTCTGCCCACTTTATATGTTGACTTCATCAGCAGGCTTGTGGGAAATGGCTGCTAGTTCCTATCCAGACATGACAATATCGAGAGGAAAAGGGGCCATCTCTTCCCATGTTTCTTTCTTGGACATGAAACCAGGAACCTTTCGTCAGTCTTCCCTGTTATCTTGTTGGCAAATTTGGAACATGATCCTTTTCTAAGCCAATCACAGGCTTTGGGAACAGAATTGTCATCATAGTCTTAAACTTTCCTGGAGATGGAAAGAGAGGGTCAGCTTCCCATGAAGCAAAATGGCTCCATAAAGAAGTGCAAATTCCTAAACAAAATCACATTGCTGTTAGGAAGTAGGAAGGAGATGAGAATTGTATGGTCAACCAACGGTGTCTGTTATGCCTAACTTTTCTAGGCATCTATGCAATTTGTAGGTTTTTCATCCTTAGCCAGAGCAAGGCAGGCTACTTCTACACACTCTGAGGGGTTTATAACTTGCTTTTCAAATTCTTTCATTTGCTTGCTGGAAAACATCTGGATCACAGCTGCCATCTCTCAGAACTTTCCCCTTGTGTCTTTCCTCACTTTGTAAAACATACACCTCTATTCTTCCTTCTTCCTCGCCTTGAGACAGCTTTAGTCCTTTATTTTTCATTGCTGTTAGACTAGTTTTGCTTGACCTGGCAAGAAATGCCTGTGTTGGGCCCATTTTTAGTACAGACAAGCTCCCTGGCTCCCCACCCTCAGACTTAGCATGTTTTCCTCACCTCTCAGTATATCAACCTATCCCTCAGTGACTCACCTCACATTAATCTTGAAGTTTACCCAGCATTTCCTCTCTTTGCCATCTCACCCCACATAAGCTTACAGGTCCTTCATGTCGTGTAGGGTATTTTTGTTTCTTTGTTTCCTTGTTTCCCTGATCACTACAAAGAAAGTGTAAAGGGATGACAAACTACCAACCATATGGAAATAACCAAGGTTACAAAATCATACTAAGTCCCTAGAGTCATAGTTTCTAGTCCATGGTCTCCGAGTCTCTCCAGAAATGGTCATTTATGCCCCAAGTGAGAAGCGCACTAAAATTCTCCCTTCCAATCCTGCCTTTGGATGCAACTGCTTCTTCTCCAGGAGGGCCCCCAGCAAGGCCCTGTTCCCAACTCTTGGCCTACAGAGTCAGTAAAGGCAAAAGATTTGTGTCCCCACTCTCATCAGCAGACTAATTGTGATGGGACAGGGCCTGAACCCTGTAGAACTAATGTTCAGGCCAGCTGAGAGCTTCTATCCGAGGCAGTAGGGATCATTAATAACCTGAGCTATCCTTGGTAGAAGAAAATGAGATACAAAATTGAAGACAGCAGGCAGCAGTACAAAATCAGAAGTGGCAACAAATGAGCATCAATGGTGACATCACCATTCTAAGGGTTTAGAACCAGGAAAGATAAGGACAGAGTGAAGATTGAGGCAACTCAAGAAAGAAGCTCCAAGAAGATGTCTGCAGCTCACTCTTCTGGGCTACCCAGAGAGATCACCATGATAACATTAAGCATGCTGAGGCTGACTCTCCTGTTGGGAATACACCCAGCCTGTAAAGATGGCTGCAAAAACGGGGAGGGAGTATTCCAAGGAGGAGGGGCTCAGGACTGACAGCAGCTTTCCCTGCTGGATTTCTGAAATGTGCTAAGTGATTTTCATCTGAATTCATGAAACTGGAAATATTTAACAGATTGCTAAGAGGCTCAACAATGAGACAATCTGTGAGTGAAAATGAAGTCATACCTTCCATTCTAACACAAAAACAGTCAATTCTAGCTACCTTCGCTATACTGTTACAGAGAAAGAATGCATTATAAGTTAATATACATTACTTTCTAGATTGTTGTAGTCAGCCTGATGTTAAAATGATTTCACATTCCCCTAAGCATCCAGTGCAGCGGTTCTCAACCTTCCTAATGCCGTGACCCCTTAATACAGTTCCTCATGTTGTGGTGACCCCAACCATAAAATTCTTTTCGTTGCTACTCTATAACTGTAATTTTGCTACTGTTATGAATCGTAATGTAAATTTCTTTTTGTTTTCCGATGGTCTTAGGCGACCCCTGTGAAAGGGTCATTCGACCCCCAAAGGGATCGCGACCCACAGATTGAGAACCACTGATCCAGTGACTAAGCAGGAAGGGAATTGGCTAAGCAGGTGAAAAATCGTGAAAAGATCAAATTCCCTGTGATTAGTTCTCAGGCAAATACCAGAGAGCTGATTGCACTGCCCAATGTGATCTGAGAGAATTCTACCTTGCTCTCATAGGTCACTTCCTAGTAAACTGCTCTTCACTCAACAAGGGTCTAGGAACCTGTAGACTTAGAGAAAAATATAGAGTGATACAGTATTCCCCTTGGGATACGTTCCAAGACCCACCCGTGGAGGCCTGAAACCGTGGATAGTACTGAACCCTATACATACTATGCTTTTTCATGTATATATGATAAAGTTTAATTTATAAATTAGGCACTGAAAGAGATTAACAACAACTAAAAATTTTAAAAAGAACAATTATACCAATTTACTGTAATAAAAATTATGTGCATGTGGTCTCTCCCAAAATATTTTATTGTACTGTACTCACCTCTTCACTTAAAGGAAGTACTTTACAACTTCTCTTTGACATGTCTGAATTGCCAGCATCACTACTTTTGCACTGTGGGGACATTACTAAGTAAAACAAGGATTACTTGAACACAAGCACTGCGATACCATGACAGTCGATCTACTAAGGGACTGGGAGCAATATACAGTGTGGGTAGGATGGACAAAGGGATGATTCACATCGTAGGCAGAATGGAGCAGGACGACATGAGATTTTTACCATCCTACTCTGAATGGCACACAATTTAAAATTTACGAGTTGTTTATTTCTGGAATTTTCCTTGTGATATTTTCAGACTGCAGCTGACTGCAGGTAACTGAAACCATAAGACTACTATATTTAAAGCGTCTTAAAGATTCAAACAGAACAAAACTCAAGAGCAGTTCCACAGTAGGAAGAGCTATTTATTCATTGTCTTTCATTCCTTTGACGTTTAATCACCAAGGGCCAGGCAACTAGGATGCTCAGGGACCTCACAGTCTAATGGGAAAAGACAGATGGGAAACAGCCCATTATAATACAGTATGACAGGTGAGCTATTACAAGGAAATACAGGTTGCTAAGGGAACAGCACACAAGAAAATGAGCGCCTTAACCCAGATTTTGTATTATGGGGCAGAGGAGACTCAGAAAATGTTTCCTTCAGGAATTTACTTTTGAAGTGAAACCTGAAAGTTATATAGTTAACTAAGTGAACTAGAGGTTAACAACATTCCAGGCTCTGAGGCGAGAAAGTATGGAGTAGTCAAGGAATAATAATGACGATGATGATAATTACTCTTATTATTTACTGCATACTTACTTTATGCCAAGTGCCGTCCTAATTGCTTTACATTAATGATCTAATTTACTCCTTACCATAATCCCATGAGATAGGGATAGTATTAATATCCCTATTTCATAGATGAGGAAACCGACACTCAGAGAAGTCATCGCTTGCCTGAGGTTACACAGCTAACAGAAAGCAGAACACGTGCCCTTAACCTCTCAATAGGCCCTCCAACTAATAGGTTGTCAGAAAAGTCATGACATATTTTTTCTGTTTTTCGTTGCAGAAATGCATCATGACTTTTCTGACAGCCCAATAGAAGAACAGAAAGAAGTTCAGTATGACTGGAGAGAAGAGGGTGGATTTAACAGCTATTTTTGAAAGAGCTCTTGTGAGCTTTGTGAAAGAACCTGGCTGGGTATTGAGAGTGGAGAGGGTGGGAGCAGAGGATATATGTGGAGCCATTCACTGGGGGATCAGCAAAGCCACAGATGTGGATGACATTCAGGGCTGGCTTCATAACAGGGACCATAATGCTGATAAACCCCAGAACAATTTTAACTATACTCTCTACAATAGCCATTTTTTCTACACATCTGAAGCAACCACGGTAAACTGCTTAAAGGTTTTACATAACATCAAATATGTGCAGTGAGCAACTCCCCTTTTCTGATAGTATTCTGGAATAAATTAGCCCTCAATCAACTAGTAGTGGACCTAAGAAACCTGAAACTGGTTAATAGGGAGTAGGGAAGTTCTTCTAGCTCAAGTCCACTGACGGGGGCCTGTCTGAGGGAGCTGTGGCAGTAGGGGTGGCTTAGAGACATTGTCTTAGATCTTGGAAGGTAAGATCTGTCCATTGGAAAGGATTGTACTCACTTTCAAATATTGTTCACCACGTGGAAAAAATAGACTCTAATATACCTGCTGGTCAAACAACACATTTTGACTAAATAGCCCTCAAGTTACTGAGAGCTAAGCATACATGACAAACACTGCTGACCCAGTGGACATGAGAGAACAATGGGTCTGATTTTAATGAGTTATCTTAGAAAGCACATGAGATTTCAGTCTGGGAACAGATGCCAAGATCCATGAGCATTTAGCCCAGAAATCCTGAGGTTGGGCACAGGCTGTGCTCTGCTCCAAGTTTACAACCATGAATAGAGATTCCTTCAGCTCAACGCAAACACTGGATTCTCAGGAAATAGACATTTACAGAAAGGCCATGCCCATTTTATAAGATTGATAGGCAGGGACTGGATAAGCCGTAGTGAAGTCAGTGTAACACAACAAACACTTAAAGGCACTTCCTGTGCCGAGCACGATTCTAACTCACACAAGGCCTCTCTTCCTGTGATCACAGTCATATGGAGGGATGGGCATGGATGTAAAACACAAAAATTCCCTATCTCCAAGTTATGCTGTAACAGAGGTGCTGTGAGGGCACAGAGGGAGGGAGAGATCAAATTTAACCAAAGGGTATGGGAGAGGGAGACATACTGGCAAAGAGTCCACAGAGGAGAACGCACTGAGCTGAGTCTTAATGAGGCACAGGAAAAACTTCCAGTTGAACAAAATATTTCAGAAACTATAATCTCAGTCCTGAGGATAGGAGATAACAGCAAACACTTTACATATTGTGTGTTTCCCCTACCTCCTCCCATCCTATCCCCAGTATTAAACCAAAGGTTCTCCTAGCCCATTTCACTCTAAACAAACAGCTTTTAAAAGACGGGCCACATCATAAGCCATGGCCCAGCCTACGGGCAAGAAGGATTATACTCAGTAGGTTCCCTGGAACCCCACACACTGCTCAGAGCCCTAGGAAAAGACCTCTGTTGAAAAGGAGGGCTCAAGGAGGTGTGGAAAGTGTACTTTGGCATGAATAGAAGACCAAGGTGAGAGTCCCAACCAGGCCCACCAACTGCCAATAATGTGAACTTAGGCAAGTCACTTAATCAACCTGATCTTGAGTTTCTCATCTTTCAAGCAGGGTAGTACCCCACATGGATGGCAGACAGTGCATGGGCAGGTGTCAGACTGAACAGGGTGAAATCTGAGCTGTACCAAGCACTGCTTGTGTGATCTTGGGCTTGTTATTTAACCTCTCTGAGTTTTGGTCTCCTTGCCTGTCAAACCAAGAACCGTAGTATTATCTATCTTATTGGGCCATTCAGGAGTCTTAAGTGAGATATTAGCACAGAGACTGATACAGAGGATGTTAGCTCTTCTTATCAATGGGAAGACCAAGTGAGAGAACGTATATGAAAGTATGTTAAGAACTACAGCCCCATAGGTGAGTTGAGTTGAACAGGGCGGTCAACTCAACCTGGAAGAGCCGGACCCTGGACAGAAGATGTACATGTGGAAAGGTTGTTGAAATGGCTTCCTGGCTATACAAGGGAAAAGTTTTAGTCTCTACAGAGCAGTAACATGAGGACAGTGAAAGTTTTGTTTACCGTCGCTTGGTCAGCAAAACTTGAAGGTGCCTAACTGTGTTATGGCACATAATATACATACATTTGAGAAATGTATTAAAGCATTTTTATGTCAATGTTACCATACTTTAAAGTCACATTTAGGGTTCCTCTGATTCTGAAGTGTCAGAGTAATTTATATTAAGTTCTCTCTTGAAGCTATAAATAATCACCTGGTAATTTATCAGTTTGTATTCTTTTATGGATCAGGTTTGGAAGAACCTCAGATAGCTCCTAAAATTTACCAATAAGCTTACTACATAACTAACAATAATAATAATAAATAATATCATTTGTTGAGCACCATATTGCAGAAAGTTTACTTTTATTTCTCCATTTATTCTTACACTACCACCTTCAGGTACATATTATTATCCTGATTTGACAGTTGAGGAATCTCAAGTTTAGGAAAGTTAAATAATTTGCATGTGTTGGAGTTGGGGTTTGAACCCATGTTTGCCTCAAGCAGTTTCTCTTCCTCTACACTCCGCTGCCCTCCCTTAGACATGTTTATCATTAATTTCTAAGTTTGACAGCTATAGATAAAAGAAATTAAAAGTCTGATATTTTATTTCACAGAAACATTTTATTTCTAATATATAAATACATTTAATAAAAGAATTACTTGCCCTGTCCTTGGCTGTAGCTATGTTTTTCTGCTCTTGTTCCAGTCATTTGGACAAATAGGAAACTGCACATTAGGCAAAGGTCACATGGAAGGGAGTGGATAATGTAATTTGCAAAAGGAGAAATGTTATGAATAGCTGATATTTTTAGAGTGTTATTTTTCTTGTTCACAATGGGTTTTGGTTTCCAGACTAATGAAATGTAAATTTTACAAAGTCTGAGGAAAACTAAGTGATAAGAAAATGATGCCAAGAATGAAGAGAGTATATAAGTCTCATTCATTAAGCCTGTGATGTTTCAGAGAACTGGCTGAAAAGCTCTGCTCACTGTTCTGCCTTGTTTGAGGGCTCCTCCTTGACATGACTTCCGTTAGTCCGGATTCTGAATACCTGGGAAGGCAGCAGGATCTATAGGGAAGACACGGCCATCTGGATACTTGCTTTAAACTTGTGGTCCCATACTTCAAATAGGCTCTCAGGACTGCCCCTCCATTTCACTATGATTCTCTAACATGTTGTTTTCCCCCTCTTTCACGTGACTCTTTTATTCCTTCTCCTCTCTCCTCAAACCTTCCTAGGCCTCTTACCTCTCACTCTCGGTAGATGACCTTGTCTTCCACTTTACAGAGGAAATTTGAGATATCAGATAGGAGCCCTCTCCTCTTCCTTCAGCAGATCCTCAACTTACAACTACCATTCTCATCTCCTTCCTCCCTTTGTTATAACCAAGAAGTTTCTCAATCATTCTAAGGTCTGTCTCTACTTCCCTTTTCAAAGAATTTGTTCCTTTGGTCATTCCCTCTCCTGGATCATTTCTATACACATTCAAATGGACTTTCATCCCATGACCCACTTCTTCAGCTATGCATTCCCCCAACACACTCTTCTACTCCCCGTCCTAGTCAAATTACTGTGTCTCTGTCTTCCCCTTTCTTACCTCCCATTCTTTACCAAGCCTATTCGAATCTGTCTTTGGCTCCTACCATTTCATCAAAGCTCCTCTTGACCTTCATATTATCTTTCTTTTCTATAATTTTTATTAGTTTCAGGTGTATAAAGCAACATACTAATTAGACATTTACATCCCTCACAAAGTGATAACTCCCCTCCCCCAAGTTACTACCCCTCTGACATCTTATATACCTGTTACCAATACCACTGATTATCTTCCTTATGCTATTCTCCACCTCCCGTGACAGGCCCGCCACCTCAGGCTTTTTCTGACCACTCTGTCTAAGCCGTTTCTCTCCTTGTTATTTTCTATCACCGAACAGAGTTTGTTTCTTTCATAAAAGTTATCACAATTTATAGTGAATTACATATTTTTCTTTCCCTTTTTTTGGGCTCTTCTGCCTGCTAAGTTCCATGTGTTAGCAAAGATCATTTATTTTCTGATATATCCCCAGGGCATCATAAGATGCCTGTGACTTAGTTAGTACTCGGTAGATATTTACATGAATGAAGCAAAAGATGGACATAGGAATGGAATGACCTTGAATGTTTTGGTCTCCTCCACCTTCCTCATCCTAGTGTTGTGGAGCTTCCAATAGCTATCTGTCTACCCACAGCATCTCCTGGAATAAGAATAAAGGTGGATTTGGGAGCACAAGAAAAAGGGGGAACTGGTGCAGTATTTGATGTTTGGGGTCTAGGAAGGATTTGTGACCTAGGCCTTTATAAAATCTTGTCTCACAGAAGGGTTGAAATGAATTCAATCCAATGAGTTTCCTTACTTCTGATCAGGAATCAGGCCAAAGGCATGGTTTGGTTTTCAGATGTCCAATCTTTCCCTGAAAAGACGCCCTGTACTTCCTTCTTCTCACTAGTGGAAAAACAAATGGGGACCCAGATTGTGAAGCCTCTGTTCCCATGCCGACTCCGAGCTGCCTGGAGGAGATTAGCGAGGCGATCAAGGCCAAGATGCGGGAAGAAGCGTACAACAAGGGGTAAGTCAGACTTCAGCTGCCCTGAGGTCACCTGGCAGGTCTCCGAAGATACCTTCCCATGGGCCTTTCCTATCTCATAGAATATTTAGGGAAGCAACGAGTGGCCCCAAGACCTCCTTGCTTCAATAAGGAACTACATAGGAAAGAACAGTACTGTTCCACAGGAAAGACGGGAGGAAGCAGGCCAAGAGGGTGTGGTCATACAATAACTACATTGCTTTCTTTTTAGACGGAACGTCACTCCCAGAATGGTCTGGAAATCAAGGGCCCTGGGTGGGTTCCTCTTGGTAATGCCTGAGGCTTCCTGCACACCCAAAGCAGTCATGTTGCTGCCCAAAATGCCCAGGATCAGCTGTCACTCCACTTCCTAGAACTGCCCCAGCCATCCTTTCTTCCTATAAGCTAGAGTCCCCTCAACTTCCAGCAGTCCCTTCTCTAATTGAGCTTCAATAGCACCTCTGACTGACCAGCCACTGATGGAACGGAGTACTGAGCACAGCCCAAGCCCCAGCCAGGTAGAGGATTACCTCTGACCAGGCATAGCATCCTGAGTTCTTTCTCCATGGCTCCTAGGGAGACACTGCTTTCCACTGATGTGAAATCTGTGGGCTTTTGTGTGGCAGCCATGCACACCATGGTGGGGTTGCCCCAGCCAACATGTGGGACACTTCACACTCTCTGCTGTAGGACAAGCAGAATGTGTATGTTCAGGGTAATATTGATCCTGAGAGGAGGAAATCAGAAGGGTTTCTCTTGAAAAGCCTATCTTTTCACCCACAGCTGTCCTTTGTCCTCAGAGGGTTACTGCTTCCACTGGCTTTGCAAACATTTACTCACTACCTCTGTAGGACAAGCTGTGTGCCTATCACTTCCATAACACTTCCCAACAAGACTGTGTGATGGGTGTCACCTTCCCTAGATCAAGCCTGGCATGTCCTCAAAATGTTCCAACACCCTGGGAGATGGGTACCACTCTCTCCATTTTACAGGTGAGGAGCTGAAGTGCCAAAGTACTACACAGAAAGCAAATACTGAATGTTTTGTAGGACAAGAACCCAGTCAGGAGACTGCATCCACATTTTTCCCTGTGAGTTTTGTCACACTTTCATAAACAGGAAGGATGACTGAGGAGTGAGGGGAAATTGTAGTGACATGAGCCACCTTGGGATTCTGTGGAGCTTCCCAGCTTTTTCCTGTTGTGTGGAACCACAGGAAGTACGTAATTATTGGAGGTGCTCAAGTCCCCTCCTCTAGGAACTCAGGAAAAGATGCCCCGTGCCTAGCCTTTCCAGATTCGATTGTTCCTTTTTGTCTTCCAGATACCAGGAAGGTCTAAAGAAGACCAAAGAGCTTCAAGACCTAAAAGAGGAGGAGGAAGAACAGAAGAGTGAGAGTCCTGAGGAAGCTGAAGAGGCAGAAGAAACTGAGGAAGAGGAAAGGGACCAGAGAAGCAGGTTGGAGCCATTGCCATTGCTGAAATGGGTCAAAATTCATTTAATTAACTACACAACATCTGGAGGTGCCAGCGCAGGGCGTCAGTGGGTCCAAGCCCAAATGAGCAGCCAACAGAAACCAAGAGGGCACTCATGTTGGATGAGGAGGCAGAGGAAATCCTAAAGAGCCAAAATAGTTAACAAGGGGACTTTTGCAAGAGCTGAGGGGTCAGAGGTGGTCAAGGGTGGGGCCAGCAACACTCAGGAGTTCTCAGGTGCTGAGAAACTGTGTGCAACCCTGACTGGAATCCCTCCTAGCTCACCACAGTGAGCTCCTTTTCCAGGTATCCCCATGAAACAGCCAAGGTCATGGGAGCTGGCCTAAAGCTGTAGGGGGAGTTTTTTTGTTTTGTTTTGTTTTGTTTTGTTTTATGAGAACAGAGGCAGAGAGAACATATGGGAGTAAGGGACAAACTCAGCTTGGTGGAAAAGGTGAGTCTCCAACAGGTCCCTTCTGTGCTGATCCAACTGACTTGATCACCTGGACTGTTTTCACTTTTATTTGGAAATACTTGGTTTTTTAAAAATATACTATATGGGCCCTATGGATATAGTGACCTGGATTTTAACAATAGTCCCAATTTCATATATTCTGCCCTGTTGACTCTATTAGTACATTCAAACCAGAGTCTTGAATTTTGATATTTAAAAATGGGTTCCTGTAAACCTGGGACACTTCACCAAAATCTCTGTCTTTAAACTCCCAGTCTATCCTGGGGTCGAGTGTGGCTCCAGCCAAAAGGATTAATTATCTAATCAGCTGCTAAACTTGGGACCGGGTATGTGTTTATGCCTCATTGCTCAAAGACTCTGGAAATCACATGCATGTAATGAATAAGGCAATAAAATGAAGACTAGACATGAGATAGATATGCTTCAAAGAACAGAGGAAAAACCAATAGAGCCCAATGGTGGAAGATTCAACCAGATTGAATCTTGCATGAGTCAACCCCAGTGTTCAAGGAAGAGCAGTCTAGGAGAGCTTGAGAAGCTGCTTCACCATTGAAAACAAACCTGTGCTATGACACACCACCTCCCCTAACGGAAGAACCCCCAGGGTTTTTGGGTTTTTTTTAAGATTTTTATTGGGGAATTGAGGGAGGGGAAAGCGCTGGGGAATTGGGGGAAGGGGAACAGACAAGTTGCTGTCCTTTTTGTTCTTCAGTCTAGTTGTGGAGGACGTTGCTTCACTGGCCCAAGTTGGCATCATCATTGCGCTCTTCTCGGGTGAGGCAGATCAGTCTCCGGCTTCTGCACGGCCGCTCACAGCGGCTGCTGGCCACTCACGCTGGCTGCTGGCTACACACGGTAGCCCATGGCAACCCACTGCCACAGGGACTGCAGCCCACGCCGTCGCCGGGGACTCACAGCAGCCCAGCTCCAGGTTGAGCCGTTGTTCAGCATTTTAGCTGTAGAGGGCAGTGTCACTGGCCCTCATATGTGGGATCCAAACCAGGGCCCTCTGGTGTCCCAAGCCAGCTCTTAACCAACAGCCCACTCGGCCGGCCCCAAGAACCCCCAGGTTTTAACAATGAAAACACAGTCCCTACTCCAAGCAGCTGGATCCTGTTTTCCTTAGTCCTTCTCTCCCTCTTGGAAGCCCTCTGCTCTTATTTGCAGACCATCACACTGCCTTCCTCCCCTTTAATGCAGTCAAGCCCAGGTCTGGACAACACCCCTCCTTTGGCTCCCTTCAATACAGCTAACACAGGCTGGATTTTCTAACATTTCCAAACACCGAGAAAGAACAAAAGAGAACTAAACAAAGAGAGTACATGGAATATAAACAGTCTGGTTTACAAAGCACAGGGCTGGAATCCTTATCTAGCTAATTTGATCTCAGGCAATTGGCGACTCCCTCCCATTTCGTGAAATCCCAGGGAATGTAAGACTGTGCCTGCATCCTACTCTGTACATCTCCTGTTCAGCAGCATGAGGCAATGGCCGCCCTTCACATCCATTGTCCAAGGGTGTCTTCTTGGTCCTTCTGATCCTGAGAGGCCTCATTCTCTCCCCTAACCTTTGCTCCCTGGAGTACATGCAAGTAGCACAGGTGATGGGTACCAGGCATGGCACAACCCTCAGAAAGGTCTTTGCCCTTCAGTACAAGGGTGTAGCTTCACCTTTTCAGCAGTGTGGCATCATCTTTTCCATAACAGCTGATGCTGCTATCACTGTGACCCAAGCCAGACTGTACCTGAGAACTGCTGTCTTCAATGCCAGGCAGTTCATTCATTCCTGAGTCCCTTACACACACAGTTGCTTGCAGGCATCTGCACTCAAACATGATTCCCCCATGAAATTTTGTCATCTCCCTAACAAGCAAAGTCTGAAATCATTAAAACTTCCAAAGTCTGATCATTAAAAGTTCCACGTCCTGCTTAGTGAACTTCAAAAACAAAACAAAACAAAACAAAAAAAGCTGGGCTAACCCCCAGAAGCAGACCCCTTATTTGAGAGATTCAACCACCAACACCTAATTTTGTCTGAATTTCTCCTCTATTTAATAATATATAATAATGCAATCTGTTATAATTATTACTTTCTGGAGGATCAGTTTAACTGAACTTTGGTGAATCAACCCAATATCTTAACCATATAAAACAAAGAACACGGCCTTCTGACTGTTATGTAAAACATTGAACAAGTAAGACTCATAAAGTACAACAGAAAACTTGTGTCTTTTCTCCCACTGCCTGTTCAAACCTACTCTATGGAGTTCAGATGATAGGAGGCAGATTCCTTTACTTTCCCAATAACGCTCAGGAAACAAAAGTCCTCTGGTCAAGTTTAAATGCCATGTATAATCTCATTTCAGTAATTAAAATGGCCAGTTCCCTGAAATAGTCAAAAGCATGAACTTCTTATGAAGTTAAAGCATTTTGCCTCCCTCCAGCACCCCACTCCCCCCTCCACCCCCACCCTCTCAGCTCTGGTCTGATTCAGGAAGAAGCCTACAGTGGGGACAGGGGACCATGGCTTCTCCGTCTGTCTCTTGCTTGCACTCCTACCCTCTACGCCAGCTTTGCTAATGCAGTGTCTGACCTCTCCAGGGTTAACACTGGGAAAGGGAATCCAGATTAAGGGGTAGGAAAGGCATTGCTTTACTGGTAGTATTGTGATTGGGCTCCAGGCCTTGGCAGGGGCCTTAAAGCTGACTTTCTGACATTCTTCAGTATGGCACTCGATTGGACCTTCAGAGAAAACCACTCCCCCCACACCAGCATCACACATTTTCACACCATTGCTGAGGCTGTCTCAGCTGCAGGTCCCTTTATGAGGATAAATGCACCTCTTCCAGCTGGCTACTGAGAATGCCTCTCTTGGTCCTTGGGCATCTGGAAATATAACTTCATTGTTCAGCTTCTAGGTAGCATTTCCAGGCAGGATCGATGACATCCCATGCCTTCACCTGACTGTATCCAGTTAAGGTGAAATGTGTGCCCTTGGCCCACTACTGGTGTGAGGATAGTTTTCCCCATCACAGCCCTCTTACTCAGAGCCACAAAGCACTTGAGCAAGATTCTTGCTCTTCAGATTTCTCAGCTGTGAGTCACACACCAGTCTACTTGCTGCAATATATTGAGCTCTCCAAGCAGCAACCCTGAAGCCCCACTCCCCTTAGGCCAAGATAACAAATTCACCCCTCTCTATGGAGGAATGGGTAGAACTCAGAAGAACCAAAAATTGATTTCCAAAGGAATTCTGTTTCTAATCTAATTCTATTTCTAACCTCTTTCATAGGTTGGAAATGGGTGACCAACTAAGGGTCACGAAGCCAAATCATGACCACCTCCTTTAGAGCCCCACTTAAAGGTGGCGTTAGAGTGGGATTCTTCCCACTGTAGCAGCTTGTTTTGAGCACAGAAATACAGTCCAAAAGAAAGACTGCATTTTAGCACCCAATTATATATAAATAGAAACTAAATAATCTAAATAGAGCTGAAAGAAAATAAGCTTCCATTTCCAAACTCTCCCTTCCCAACAGTTGTGAAAATACTCGATGATTTTCACGTCAGCTAATGTGCTCACTGTTTTGCTTTACTTAATTGTTCCTTAAGTGATCATCAGAAGGTTCCCACATGGAAAAGAAACCAATCAGTGCCTTAGCTTAGCATCTGAGGCAGGCACTCTGAGTGTCTGGACACTTTCTAAAGAGGGCATTTGTTGAGTCATTTGATCTCTGGTAAGGCATCTATTCTCTACTAACTCTGAAGTAGAGCTCTCCACTTCTCAGCAAATGGTCTCATATTTCAGTGTCTGTGTGAGCCTTGAGATATTCAGAAAGCTACTCTGTCACTTTTCTCACCTCCTCCATTTGGAGGTCCTCAGTATTCTCATTTTTAAATATACTTTTTAAAAAATAGGTAGGAAACAGGAAGAAATTCTAGCTGAATGAATGTGTCCAAGGCTTCTCCAGAGAACTCTAAAAATGGACTCTTCAAGTGGATCATCTGACCAAATGTCTTTTCCTTAGGTCACAAAGAGAATGGGAGAGTTGAAAGGCAACTGGGAAGAGAGGAAGAGGAAAAAGGGGAATGAAACAAGCAAAAACTAGAGGGGGAGAGAGATGAAATGGAGGGAAGGAAGAGAGAAAAGAGAGTGGAAATAGGAAAGAAAAGAGTATGGAGAGTGGAGAGAAACAGCAAGAGGGAAAAATTAGGGAATGGAGATTAATGGGTTCAGAAAACATCTTAAATAAGCCATCCAGATGTGGCTGGAGGCTACTAGTCCTCTGGTGCCCCTGGGAAAGGTTTGAAGTGAGCTCTTGATGTTGATCTGGTTCATTATCATTTATCACTTGACATCAAGAGCCTCCTAGGAGTTTAGCACAGTGCTCCCACACTGGACATAGTCAGATGTGGAACTGAAGACAACAAACTATGCATCTGAGCATGGAAGCCAAGAAAGATTAGAACTTGAAACTGATCACTAATACTGCGAAGTCCAGAAAGGATGCTGGTCCTGTCTGGATGCATGGGCGTAGGGGTCAGGGGAACCTTGTATCTTTGGGCTTGGGAGAGTTCAGATATGATGACCATCTTGTGAACTGATGAGGTCATATGTGAATGGGCGAATCATGAGAAAAGTAAATAGAGTGTTCTAGCTCAGTAGCTCCCAACATCAAGGCCCTGGACCAGTGGCATCCAAATCACCTAGGGAAAACATTTTTTTTAAACTTTATTGGGAAACAGCCATGGTCATTGGTTACACCGTGCTTTCATGCTACAATGGCATAGTTGACTCTTTTAGGGAGGGCACAGCTCACAGTGGCCCATGCAGGGATTGAACTGGCAACCTTGGTATTATCAGCACCACGCTCTAACCAACTGAGCTAACCAGTCACCCTTGTGAAAAATTTACACTAGAGCTTCCTAGACCATACCTTTGGAGACTCTTATTCAGTAGAGCTGGGGTATTTTCAATAATTGCTGCCAAGTGACTCTATACACAGCTGAGTTTGAGAACCACTGCTCTAGATAGCATGGGAGATATTTTAGAAAGAGAATTATGGGTCTGGGCATCATATATATGTCCAATATACTAAACTCTCCACCTATTTTTTATCTGACAGCAAACTTGAAGAATTGGTTCATTTCTTACAAGTCATGTATCCCAAACTGTGTCAGCACTGGCAAGTCATCTGGATGATGGCCGCAGCGATGCTGGTCTTGACTGTTGTGCTGGGGCTGTACAATTCCTATAACTCTTGTGTGGAGCAGACTGATGAGCCCCTTGGGGGATCCACTTGCTCAGCAGCCCAGAGGGACTCCTGGTGGAGCTCAGGACTCCAGCATGAGCAGCCAACAGAGCAATAGGACACCTGACATCCAGCCAGTGCCCTGTTCCAGCACAGCCCACCTTCCTTTCTCCAGGTATAGTGCTGTGAGGCCTGGGTGTGGTCACACTGCCTCCAGCCCATCAGGGAATAAACAGGAGTTCTTTCACACTGGGCACCTCTGTGAGAGCTGTTCATACACAGTAACTGATGTTCTTGAAGGATCAACAAAACTGCCCTGGAAAAGCAGCCAGTGGATGAAGAAGTCACCTTCACAAAGGGACTCTAACAGAAGGGAAGGTCGCCTGCCCCTGGTTCATATGGCCAGGAAAACGAAAACACCTTCACTGCAGGGGAGTGAAGGTGTTTTCCTCTTTGCAGTAGGAAATCAGGAAGAATTGTGCCTAAGGCTAACTCTGACCCTGAGGATCAGGCCTGGAATTCGGAGTTACAACATGAATATCTTCCCATTTCCCATCTCATTCTCACTGACTCTCCTTCTGCCACTATGGAGTCAGAGTTCCTCTTTACAGGAGTAGGAAAGTTTTCTCAGAAAAACATTTAGGCTGAAATTAGCTCTGTGTTTGAAATGGGAAGATATGAATTAATATATATGCATCTGCGCGCACACACACAACACACACACACATAGCACGCATGTGCATGAAGCCAACAACCCTCCAAATCTATGCTCTGGGTGTGTGTTCTGGATAAAGTCAACCCACAGATTTTCACTAGGTGTGGGGCAGTCACCAGGCACCTGTTCAATGAACTCTCCACGTGGATTTAAGATGTTTGAAAAACACTGAAAACTCATGGTTTCAATGGTAAACTTGCTGATCTCCATTTCAAGTGCTAATTCTAAGCTGCTGTATAGCACAGTCTATTCCCTATATGTTCTCTCCCATTGAGGGCAGTTAACCCACCTCTCCAGTGAATAAGGAGACACGGTGTGCTTTAGCTTCCGTGTGCCCATGCAAGTGTGCAGCTGCACCTTAGTGCTTCAGTTCAAACGGAACTTCCAACCCAAAGATATGTTTCAGAGCATTCCCAATTGTTTCGCATAATCCTGAGAGAGGACGGCCCACCTTCAATTTGACTTCTTGCTCCACCTTCACAGCCACTGCCTTCCTTCATCCCTCATCAGTTTTGGGGGCTCTTGGTTTCTGTGTGGGTTTTATTGTGGTTCTGCTTTTGTTTTTGTTTAGTTGTTAATGTTGTTTGTTTTTGTTGCTAATATTCATATAGAACTTACTATGAGACAACCACTGTTCCAGATATTACATAGGTATTAATTCATTTAGTCCTCAAGAAAAACAAAAAACTATGAGGTGGGTACTACTCTTCCCATTTTCAGGCAAGAAAACCGAAGCACAAAAACCACAAGGAACTCTCTGAGGACACCGAGTTAGTAAATCATGGGGCTGGAACTCAAACCCAGGCAGGCAGGCCAGGGGCTGTGCTCTTAACCACTGCCTCTAACCACTGTGCACTAACTTGCCTCTGCCAATGGTCTCCTAGCTGGATGCCTTATATTCCAGTCCCTCTCCCCCATGTGGCCCTCCAGTCCCTCCAAATCATTTCTGGTTCCCAGACTAACCTGTGTTCTCTCACAGCTCTGTTCCTCCACTCACTCATTTTTCTTCTGCCATTCTCTTTTCTTCAGGACCAAGCGTCAAAAATCATCCCCTCCATATGGCTTTAATGACCTCCCTCCAACTCCCCACCATACCCCACACAATAGAACACACCCGCCTCTGTTCTTTCTTTTAAACATCTCCATTATTGACCATTACAACAGTGTATCACAATAACTTATTATGTGTCTGTCTCCCCTAGCATTTTTTCCTCACAGACAAGAACCATGTCTTACCCATTCTCTGGGTAAGGGCCTAGCATGGTGGCTAATGCTTGGGAGGGTGTCATTAAATGTTGGTCCAAAGAACAAGAGAAACTTCGAGGTGGCAGAGAGCAGCCTGGGGACAGCTGATATTTTGCATACTTCCCAATACCATCGCCACCACTGTCTCAATAAGAAAATAACATCTTTATTAGCCCCAACTTATTCTAATATTTTTCAGTCTACTCTGAGAGAAAGCAGAAAGGAGGCCTAACTAGCAACATCACTTCCAAGCTCAAGAACTGGGCTTGATGTGACCCACTTTAAAGCAGCATGTTGATTTAAGGGGGGCATCATTTACAGTGGCTAGAAAATCACTGCAAGTGAAGCCCAAGCCAGGGGTTGACCAAGGATGTGCCATTAAGGTAAAGAGGTGCAGATCAAGGCAGGTGAACTCTGGGGACGTGGGTGGATGGTTTACCCTGCCCCTTCCAGGGAGACCAGACACACTGAAGGAGTTTTAGGCCCTCGAAGCCGAAGACAGGATTCAAATAGAGCTCTTGAGAGAGTGGTTATGAGACAGGAATCTAGGCTGAAATGTCCAGCCTCGGCCTCCCTTGAAGAAGGACCAGGCTGAGCTGGTCCATTGTCTACTTGGCCACAGGGTTACACCTTTGTTTTCAGTTGAGATAAAGGCCAGGGAAGGGGGTGCAGTGAGCTCCAGAACCTCCGCCTGCTCCACAGAAAGGCCAGAAAGAGTACTCCCAGACCAGGTCCTCACCCAACCTGCTTTGAGAGTAAGGAAGGTTGAGGAAAAGAAGGAGCATAATACATTTCCAAGTGCATTCCCGAAAAAGTATGCGTTGGTATTTCTTTTCTGAAAAGCAAAGATTGACCTGAAGCAGTTGGAAATGTTGCCAAAGCAGCAGTGAAATAAAGAGAAACAGGCCCTGTACTTCCAACGGTGATATTGATCTGAAATAAAAGTTCCCCTCAAAACGCCTCTAAAGTCTGACATTTCTGCTTAGCCCTGGGATTCTGGGTGCTTATTCTCAGTTGCAGAGTGATGTGATGTTTGTGTTATTGATGATGTCACCTTCTAAAAGGACCTTCACTTTGCAGCTACTAAAAACCAATATGTATTGCTCCCCATGTAAAGCCTGGCAGAGTAAATGGACAGGGAGATGCGGAATTTGTTGTCACTGGCCGTCAGTTCCTAATGTTGTTAATCCTCATGCAGGTGTGCTAGCATTGAACTATAGAGTACCACGTGCCTGAGTTTGAAAATAAAAGCACATTTCCAAACCTTTGGCAGCAGCTAAATGCCTCCTCATTTTGTGGAGCTGAGTCACAATCATGCCCCAACCCTTTGGATATTAGCGTCTCCCAGAAGGAAGCCAAAAGTCCCCAGCCTTGGGTCGTTGGACAATGGGCTACCTCCTAAGGGCTGGACCAGTTTCTCTCCTTCTCCCTTTCCCTGTTCCTGATCCTAGTTTCCTGTGCCTTTCTGGCCTACAATTTTTTTCTTTAATTAATACATCTTGCTGTGATTGAGACTGCTGAGTTTTTACCAAACTGATTTCCATAGACAGACTACATTTTTCAGTCTCTCTTGCAGCTAGGTGCAGAGGAATATAGACTTTCCAAATCTAGTTTCCTAAAAACAAACTCTCCTGCCCAATACTTCACACCCTCTTTATTCCCCTGTTCCTACCAAGTTCAGAGGATTCATTTGAGGTCCTGAGGCCCAAGAAGAGGGCAGAACCACTAGGTGAAAGATGAGTCTTTGAATAGGCACTCACAGCATTCAACTGTGACATGAGTAAGAAACAAAATTTTGGTGTGTTAAGCCACTGAAACTCAGGAATAATTGTTATAGCAGTTAGCCTACCATGACTAATGCATACATTTGAACCAGAAATGGAGTACTTCAATAACAAATTTTCAAAATATGAAGCACCAGCTTAGCAGTCAAATGGCAGGAAATAAACTAATATCAGGAACTGGAAATAGTATGACCCATGCTATGAATAAAACAAAAATATATGGTAAAGTCTTACTCATGATAATTTGAAAGGAAGCCCATGGACAGCCTATAGATCTAGGAGAAGTGGTTGGAAAGAATCAGAGTGTTGGAGTATGTGAACATTTATTGGCTGCGTTTGGCAAGGTATTGAAAGAAAAAGAAGCACTCAGCAAAGAATTGGCTCTATGAAAGCAGAAAGGAAAGAAATCTAGAGTGTACAGATTGAAGGGTTAGAAAATCTGATTGCTTCTAAACCCCAAACAATAAGACTAAAAAGAGCTTTGAGTGAAAAAGATTTCTCAGTTGAACCCAGATCAACTCAGCCTTATGGCAAAGACCAGATTAAGAAAATGGCTGTTCCATTTGTGATTTCAGATGAACGAGCCACCATTAAATGGGGGAGGGAGAGGGGTATAAGGCTGCAAAACAAAGAAACACATCTTGAGAATTGTGACTGGGAAAAAAATGGGGGTATATGAGTAAGTATTGGCACATGGGATCAAATGGAAGCAAATAGATCAGAAATTTAAGTTTGTGAGGGGAATCATATTTACAAAGAAACATAAGTCAGGACTAAAAACTCTTTTGATTGTTCAAATCAGAAAACAGCTTTTGGGATTACGCCAGTAGAAAGCAGATAGCAAAAGTAAAGCAGGCAAGAGAGATCCAAGATGGTGGAGTACATAAACACGGCATCTGCATCCTTCCATAGACACATTAGAATTACAACTAAATCATAGAACAATCAACCTAGAGAACTATCTGAAGCCTAGCCAAACAGAAGTCCGACAACTAAAATTATAAAGAAGCCATGTTGAGTCTGGTAGGAGGGATGGAGACTCAGTTGAGAATCAGAAGGGATATCTCCACCTTGGAGAAGCGAGGGACCCCAGCCCCCCCACACACACACACACACCAGGCTCCCCAGCCCAGAGTACTAGTGCCAGGAAGAAGAGCCCCACAACATCTGGTGGTGAAAAACAGTGGAGATTTCGACCATTCAGGTGGGATACAGGAAATGCAGACATCCTCTTAAATGACCTGCACACAGACTCACTTGTTCACAGGCACTCACCTTGGACTCCAGCAGAAGGACAGTGACTCAGGGGGCCTCAGAGTCACACAGGGGGCAGACTGAGGTGTGTGCCTTCAAGGGGACAACTAGAGTACAGTCGGCATTTTCCCAGGGTGGGGTTCTGCTGCCGTGCAGCCGGCAGGTGGGCACCATCTTTCCTATGTTTACCCCACCCCCTACGCTTATGACCAAATCTAAATCTGATTGGTCTGGTGATCTCTGCTGCTCTGCCTTGCTGACTCAGCTGGGGCCTTGGCTCAACCAACTCTAGCACAGCCAGAGGCACTTTCTCTGATAGCAGCCAGCCCCTCCCACATTGCACTCTTTCTTGAAAAACTCTCAGAGTCCTGCAGGCCCCAGGCAGGCAGCAACTGGCCTTGTTGTGCTCTGAGACTTTTGCTGAGTCACTTCAGGCTCAGCATGGGCACCAAACCATAGTCCACATTAACCTGTTGACCACAACTCTTCCCACTCTAGTGACTCCCTGAGACCTTGCCTCACCCAACTTGCATGAGGCTCTATCAGTGGTTGAGGGAGCTGGCAGATGGCAGCAAGCCTCCAAGTGTCTGCAAAATGCTAGAGTTATCCCAGGCCTAATACTGGTGGCAGCTGTCCTCGGTTCACAGTGTGGCCTCTCCCATGTGCCTCCAGGTTTAGCATAGGCAGCAAACAACCTGGGATCACTTTGTAGCTCCTACCAGGTAGCCTCCAGGGAAGTCACAGGCAATGGCTGACCTGGGCCTGCACTGGAACCCTTACCAAGAGGGCCCAGAACCAACACACTTGGAGATTGGCTTCAGACCACAGCAGAACACCACCCAATTAGCCCCACAAATGGCACACCCAAAGGGCAGTCTTAACAGGCATCAGAGCCTACTGGGGAAAATCCCACCCGGTGGGGTAAACCTCCCACAAAGCAGTCTATAAGCTGTGGATGTGGCCAAACACCACAGCCAGTCAGCCTGAGGGTCGATCACACCCACTAATGTGCCAATTGCAATCAAGGCTCAACTATAACAGGAGGGCACACACAACCCACACAAGGGACACTCCTGAAGAACCCAGCTGAGGTGGACAGGGAGACTCTGCCATTGGGCCCCACAGGACACCTAACTAAGGCCACCTGGCCAAGGCTAGGAGAAATAAGAGATCTATCTAATACATAAAAACAAACATAAAGAGGCAGCCAAATGAGGAAACAAAGAAATACATCCCAAATGAAAGAACAGCAGAAAACTCCAGAAAAAAAAAATAAGTGAAATGGAGGCAAGTAACCTACCAGAGACAGAGTTCAAAACAACAGTTATAAAGATGCTCAAGAAACTTAATGAGAACTTCAACAAAGAGATAGCAAGCATAAAAAAATAAAATAGAAACCATAAAAAAGAACCAATCAGAAATTAAGAATACAATAACTGAAATAAAGAATGCAGTAGAAGGAATCACCAGCAGACTAGATGAGGCAGAAGATCAAATCAGTTATTTGGAATACAAGGTAGCATAAAATACCCAATTGGAAGAGCAAAAAGAAAAAAAGAGTAAAATATAAAGGGTTGGGGGAGGATAGTTTAAGAGACCTCTGGGACTACATCAAGTGTAACAACATTCTCATCATAGGGATACCAGAAGGAGAAGAGAGAGAGCAAGGAATTGATAACCTATTTGAAGAAATAATGACTGAAAACTTTCCTAACCTGACAAAGGAAATAGACATACAAGTCCGGGAAGCACAGAGTCCCAAACAAGATGAACCCAAACAGGCCCACACCAAAACACACTATAATTAGAATGACAAAGTTTAAAGACAAAGAGAAAATCCTAAAAGCAGCAAGAGAAAGGCAACTAGTAGCTTATAAGGGAGCTTCCATAAGCTCCCTACAGAAACTTTGTAGGCCAGAAGGGATTGACACAAAATATTCAACGTGGTGAAAACCAAGGACCTATAACCAAGATTTCTCTACCCAGCAAGGCTATCATTTAAAATTGAAGGACAGAAAAAGAGCTTCCTGGCCAAGAAAAAGCTAAAGGAGTTCAACACCACCAAACCAGAATTACAAGAAATGTTAGAGGGACTCTGCAAGGTGTGCACCAGGACAGCGGAGCCAGAGGTGACTAAAGCCACCTGAAATGTCAGTAGCTTGTTCCTCCGTCCACGCCAAATGGATTGTAGGGAAGGTGAATGGGACAGCATTGCAAAAAACTACTAAAGTGAGAGTGACCAGGCTTGTTCTGGATCCTTATTTATTAAAGTATTTTAATAAACGAAAAACCTAGTTTGCTCACAATGCTCTTCAAAAGTGCACAGTTGGGGATATTGTACTTCTTAAAGCTTTACCTGTTCCATGAATGAAACATGTGAAACATGAGCTGTCTGAGATCATTTTCAAAGTTGGACAAGTCATAGATCCAGTGATGGGAAAACGCTGTGCAGGAACTACCTACCTGGAGAATCCAGTTAGTTTGGAAACCACTCACCTAACCAATAACCTGGAAGAACTCAGTATCTCTTCAGAACAATGAGGGAGGATTAGAAAAAGGAGCCAAAGGGAAAGATTTATGAGTTTGCTTTATGGAAAAAGGTATTTTTCTAAGTTTCATCAAAAACTGATCAATTTCTCTTCTGGTATTTATGAAATAGTGAAAAGTAAATGAATAAAGGGTTTGTTATAATTTTCCATGAAGGTTTATGGTCACGTTTCAAATTTCCTTTTCAGTGAACATACTTTCCTGTTATACTAAGTGTGCCTAGCAATCTGCTGCATTTTTTTTAAGCTCACTGTTTTAGATGCATTTTTTTCTTTTTTTTTTTCATTCAAAGGAATCTTGAATTTATCTTAGAATCTTTATTTTGGGAGAAGAAACTCTTTTGATGTCATAAACAGATAAGTTCACATTAAGTGAATATTCTTTTTTTCTAAGATTTTATTGGAGAATTGGGGTAGGGGAACAGCGTTGGGGAATTGGAGAAGAAGAACAGACAAGTTGCTGTCCTTTTGTTCTTCAGTCTAGTTATGGAGGACGTCACTTCACTGGCTCACGTTGGTATTATCATTGCGCTCTTCCCAGGTGAGGCAGTCGCTCGCTGGCCATTGGACAGCCGCTCACAGTAGCTCACGAAAGCTCACGCCCGCTGCCAGTCAGTCCCATTGCAGCCTACACCGTCGCCAGCGACTCACGGCAGCCCAGCTCCAGGTCAAG